ATATAAGGTTTTGCACTCTGCATATTTGCATTTGTACTCCTTCTAAATTGAGCCAATATAAAGTATAAGTATATATGAGCATATATACTTAAAACTGATTGATGGTAGTATAGGGGTGTATAATTGATCCAATTATAAAAAAATATGGATAAGTACCTATTTTTTTTTATTTTTTTGGATTTTGAGACGGGGGAAGTTGCCATTGACCAAGATACCTTTGTTCTTTTTTTTTTTATAGAAGGAGTACAAATGCAAATATGCAGAGTGCAAAACCTTATATTTTGTATGTATTTGTACTGTACATATTTGCATTTGTACTCTTTCCAAACTGAGCCATTGTATCTATTAATAGAGTTGATTTGAATAATGTTTTTCATTATTTTTTTATAGATTCAAGTTTCATAAAAATAATTATCAACTAATTTTACAAGTCGTTTTCAGTTCATTTGTTAATGCTATATATTATTTTGATAATTTTTAATTCAACTTATATATACTATTCAATATTCGATTGTGATCCAAACTTGATTCCGATTCAAATAAAAATGAATCAAATTTGTATCTACCTATATCCGATTCAATCCATTTGTATCTCTAACAAAATAACAATATGATCCTATGAACACCTTTCAAGAAAATTGTAATTATATGGATATATCAAGGAGCATAGTTTGAATTAATTTCAAGCCTTAGATAATTGCAACATTTTTTTGGTAAAAAGAAAAAAAATATAGAGATAAAATTTCATCTAATTGGGATCTTCATCTAAGGATAGAGGAGGTATTGTATCGGACATATGCTGCAACCATTGTCACTGCATTCTCTTGCGACCCCCTAATAATAATTCAAAACACCGAAGTGAAATATGGAATAACAGCATTATGACAGAAATTGTAAAGACAGAACTTTGAATAACAATGGGTGGAGTTAGACACTTAGACCTGGCAATCGGATTGGGTCATATTGGGTTCATGTTGGGCCAAGGTATTTTATTGGGTCATTTCAGGTTGGACCAGCTTTGTCTTGGATTGGTAAAGGATAGACCCTAGCCCTAAATATTCAGGTTAGGGTTGATCTATTCTTTGACCAAATCGATGTTTTTTTCACCAAAAATATAGATTTGAGTTTTGGTTCAAATGACTTGAATGATTCAATTGCTTGGATCAACATTGGTTTGAAAATAGGTGATACTGCAGCTGTCAACCATGACCTTTTGGTTCGGGCCATTAGATATGAGCCATGACCTCCTTTTTTGGGTTGGATCGGCTTGTGGATTGAGTCACTATTTTCGATTCTATTCAATCAAACAGAATAATTTATTCTAATTCTGATTCCAGACCCTATTCCCGTAAACCAAACGGGGCTTTAATACATAGGTATCACCTCAATCAAATTAAATCGATCATCTACAGAATAATTAAGATAGCACCACCAGGAAATATTCAGAGCTTGATTCAGGATTTCAAATATTAAAACATGTAACGAGGCAAGAGAACAGAAATCCACTAATCCATTATTCGCATACATTCAGACAATAAAATCAAACAGAAAATTGGTTAACTAATTAATCTCAGGACAACGATTCCCTGCTACTACTCTCATCTTCTCATCACTCTCTTTGAGGCCCTGAATCCAAGTTTTAAGTTGGAACTTGGAAGATGCCTTAAATTAGGGTCCACCATGTTCAAACCACGTGAATGAAAGAGAAAGAGAAAGAGAATCCCGAGTTAAAAGTGATGGTTTTGTCCCTTTTTAGATGATGGATTCGATTGGTGAAACGAGGTTTAATAACTCAACAGCTAGATCGGACGCAAATTGGGATATTCTGCTAACAAAACACGTACCAGCCTTCTACTAATTTGATCTAACACCATACATTTCACCATGAGACTGGGATTCACCAGACCCGCCATGTATAAGATGTGTGGTGTGAGATTATATTCGTAGAGGGCTGGAACGTGTTTTGTTTGTAGATGATCCCGATTCGTCGAGTGTGCCTCACGCCAATTTTACAGCACATCGCAGACGTGCATTATGAACATCTCCTATGCATGATGTTATCATTTATGGGA